GTATTCAGCTCAATTGGTAAAGTCATTCGTTGAAGAGGGAGAGGAGGCGAGGGGGTGCAAAGTCAAGGAACAGTTTTATTTTCGTCTGAAAGTCAACAGCAACGGTATGCCTTAGGTTTCACCTCCCACAGAGGTGCACTAGCAAATTCAATGAGTACGACCTGAGTGAACCGCAGAATCCACAAAAGGAGTGAATACTTCTACCGGAAGAATCGAGGAATGGAAACGTTTCAAAAATATCAAGAGGACATGGGATATGATCACACTCGGCATATGATGAGCTATTATGGGTGGCGTGTAAGAACCATCAAAACTACGGTGGATCGTGACACTGTTCGCATAATTTACGCGTTGGAGCCCGTACAGTTTATTCGAAATATTGTCCACTGGTTAAGTGTCTGCTCACTCTGTCTGCTCACTGTTGGAGCAGGGTGTTTCTAGATATGGTTCCCGAGCCATGTGCTTTCCTTCTTCCAGAAAGGGAACGGAAATCCTTTGAGCTTTTCTTGTCCTTACGACCAGCACAGCCCTAAGAAAGGGCCTCTTTGTAAAGTCTTTATGTATGTAGAAGCCAAAACGTGTCGAAGGCGAGGGGACTAACCTACGAAAGAAACAAATTCGAGTTTTCGGTCCCTTCCCCTGGAGACATGAACGCATAAAGCCCAGGAGAGTCTACTGCGAATATTCGCTCCGATTCGTACCGTATGCAACTAGACAAAAATGTCACATTGTCACTCGTTGACCTATTTATCGTATTATGGTGTTCAGGCCCTTGTAATAATAGTAACTTCATTTGGTTTGTTATTGTGGATGGCATTACTTATGGCGTACGGTAATAGAATCCCAGAATTTGCAATTTCTACTGTTCAAGACCTCCTTCCAAATGCGGACATTATGGGTACTGGTGAGTCTATGCTCGATGTTTATCAAAGGTTCACTGGGGTATGGGTTCCTACGGCAGGAAGCGACTTTTCGCTTTTCGTAGCGCGAACTTTTTTCGTTGCGGAGCCCCAGGACCACCCATATTTAATAAACCAAAGTTCGCACTGCGAAAAAGTCGCCTTCTGTCCCAGTTGTGGAACCAGCGATTCGCAAAGTCTGGCACCGGCCTTAGCGACTTACACTCATGTTTTGTACGGTAGGGAACCGAGGGTAGTAGAACATTCGTCTGTGAACATGTGGCGATAGGACCGCCCACTTTAACCAACAGACACAAGCTGTTCAAGCAATATCTAGCTCAACAGTTGCGATCAACGACAGCAATGAATAGTGTAGTGCAGTATCGATGAACCCAGTGCCAGGATTCCAACGAAAGAACTAAGCCGCAGCAAACTTGCTTACATTTTGAATCTCCGGAATCACTGAACCACCAGAACTACACCAGTACAAGTACAGTCACTGACGACATTCAAGCAAAGGGATGAAGGGGGCGCGCATTGAGCAGCAAAACCCTGCTCACACAGTACTCGATTAGACACTTGTGACACCACTAGGTAATGGTGTGGTGTCACCTTGGGAAATACAAATCTAACATGCATCCCAAGCTAAACAAGTCGAACCACCCTATTATCAGAGACTTACACTTGCTAGTTCTTACGACTTAGATGATTTGGTCAAAACACTGAGCATCGCATAATTGGCCCTAAAAGCAAATTGTGATGATGGATCACCATTTGGATCACCAAATATGCCACTTAACCTGTACAAACTCCCTAAAGCTGCCACAGACGTTATTAAAGAATATCTTGCAGATTCGACGCTGAGAATCATATGTATAGCAGTTCTTGTTGCCATAGTCATAGTTGTAATGACCTATATTTACCTGGTTCGTTGTTCAGATCTTCGGTTACAATAAACAGAGACCAGAGGAACGCTGCTCTTACAGTCATTACACTTTACAGGTCTTTTTCGATTACTACGTGTTCTTGAAAGAACGTGAAGAAGCATTCTTGAACGACAGTCAAAACTCTGACCAATACTCACCAATACCAGCTCAGGAAAAGTAGTACAAATCAAAATTAGGTCCATTCTATTATGTGTAAATATGCTGAAACGCAAACGAACTATAAACTTTTCATTCGACCGCAACTGTTGACAAGAATTACGCGGAACCTGTACAAACTTATGAAAGTATTCAATCCACGTTATACATGGTAATTAGTTATAATATTATGTAAAATTACTTGTACAATTTCCTAAAATCTCACCGGTACAAAACGATTAACGTATTCTATGCAAAATTCGAAAGACACTGGTAACAATTTAATCTTCGCGATACCTTATGTCGTAATCGCCATAGTCGGGAGTACTTTTACGCGAAATGTCACCACGTACGTAGTCGTCATCTGAGTCGTCTTCTTCACCTTCGTATACACCCATTTCGAAGCCCTCAAGACGACGTCGCATGCGTTCCAGTGCAAACGGGGACTCGTCGTGTTCATTATTGGGGTTTCTACGGACCTAAATTGGTTCGAATTAGGTAAAACGATCAATTGGCACGCTTCCGCTTAAGCCACGAAAAGCTGCCGGGAGGCTGCGGCAATCCAGGAATAATAATGGCACCATATTAGTGATTCTAGAGCTTGACAAATCATCGAGAAATCGAAAAGTTACGCGAAGTCTGTACTACAGACATAATTTCGTTAAAAATTAGGAATCAAAGCTGTTAGAGTTATTCATAGAAACGATATGGACAACCCATGTATTCAGATAGGGGAGAACTTCGCGATTGCAATCGCGCGGCGGGGCGGTTTCGGGGAGGCCGGCGATGCAGCCATACGGATGAATAACGACCCGCCCCAATCGCAATTCTGGCAGATTAACAATTTTATTCTTCCGAGTTCTATTAATGCGAGCAGTGAAACCGCAGAGTGGGATCTTGTGCAATTAAAATGATAGCATACTGAAAAATAGGGAGATATTATAACAATAACAATGAGCTTCTGCTTTGGAAAATTGCCAAAAGCGCCCCATTCCAGGGAGAAGACTTATTTTAGATGAGGTGCAGTTGAACGATTGAAAAAAAATGGTTTAATGCCCACAATGAAATTGAAATTTCATAAAGAAAACATTTCTAAGGATAAAATAACTTGGCAGTACGAGTATTTATATTCAATTGCAGCATATGAAATCAGTCCAAATATAAGGGACACGTACCATTCTATCGTCTTCATCATAGTAGTTCAAATCCTCATCTTCGGTGTCATCGTCTTCGTCATCGTCCTCTTCTTCGGGATAATCATTTCGCCAGTTGTTCTCGTCATTTGAGTCGTCATCGTCGTCTGCTGCACAATCACTCTCAGAATCGGAATTTCCAAGAAGTAATGTTTGCTCTTCCCTGGAAATAACAAAAGCACTTGAATAGTAAAACGAAAAGCTGGAATAGCTCAGAGGGATTCATGGTACCACCTTTAGAGAGAAAAATATCAAACTCACTCAGTAGCGAATCTCAGCTCGATATCGGAATCCCACTGTTTTATTGGCTCTGTCATCGATCCCCGATATATTTTGTAATAGTCATATCTTACAGCTTCATTTTCCTCGACGTTACTATCGCTCTGAAATTCTCATAAGTCAACAATTTGATGGAGCAGCATTCACTTGGCGGCTGACTGAACCCGTAGCTCTTTTGATGCCATTTTAGAATTTGGCAATCAGTCCAGACAAAAAGGTGATGAAGGGCTAAATACATCCCTACTCCTGATGGTATCACTTTCGACTCTGCAGTAACCTCATTGTGCGTGACTACATTATTGGGTATTCAATTCCAACCCATAAATGTTTCAGCAGTCAAAAACATTAAATTGGCAGAAATGTCAACATGGTATATGGTGACTTCCTGATACGAGAATTTAGAGATTCAAAAGGGCATGATGCTTGTGCTCATGAATCTCAGATAAGTGCAGGAATGCTCAGAAGAAGAAATCGTTCTTTCTCTATCGAACTAACATGCTCGGTGAAAGCCAGAAATTTTATAACCTGATCCTAACACTGCACCCTAAGCCAACATCATTTTCAATTTTGCTGGAAGCTTTCAAAAACTAGCCTTCGATTTTTGGGTGCAGTGCAATTCTACAGAATACAAAGCACATCAAAAACCTTCACAGAGAAAACTTGAACAAGGAATTAAATGACAACAAAACGTGAACATACCATAGAAACGTCAGCTGGACCACTTGAACCATCACTGTGCTCACCAATGAATTCAAGGCCTTTGCCTTCAGCTTCACCTAAACGCACGAGATGTGAGCAAACAGTGACACTACCTAGCATGAGA